GTATTTTTATTAAGTAGTAAATAAAATAAATATTTAGTACTAAGTTTTAACTTAAGTTTTATTGTACTAATTTACTGTTATTTCTTCTAGAAGAAATAATAATATATATATATATATATATATATATATATATATATCAATGACATCCACCTGGCCTAGAAAGTATTAATGTAGTGTTTTTGAACTCTGTTTATTTATTTGTTTCTTTTCCATTGTTTACAGCTGGAGAGTTATTATCTGTTGCTGCACCTTTCCTTGAACAGAACATTCATCCTACTGTGATAATCAAAGCTTACCGCCAAGCACTTGAAGATCTTGTTGAAATCTTACGAGAAGTGAGGTGAGTGGAATTGTTAAATAGTGAGTTTGATGGTATTCAAAATATTGTCAGCTTGTTTTTATTAATGATAAAATTTCCAAAGTGACAGACTTTAGTAATAAACAAACTGGACTACTATGTTCACTTAACTACTGTTGAAAATTATTAATTAATAGACTTTCCTTTATGTGCAGTATTGTACAATGTTTTTGCTCAAATTTTAAAATGTTTTCTAGTTATGGGCACATTCCATCATGAATTGTATGTAAAAATTGCTAGTGAAAAGGATATGTGAAATAATGAGAACCTATGTGCTTATCTGAAAGGTAGAAACCAAATACAGTTGACTGACTTGGCATATAATTATCTCAATACTAAATTTTCATTTGCCCTTTATTGTAGCCATCACAGTTGTTTATTATTTTAGGTGTTGAATATGTTTCTTCTGTGGTGATGTTGGGTACAACTATGAAATTTCTGAAAACTTTCATACGATCCAAACTCAATTATCAGACCAATTTGCAACAAATTACAGTCTTTACTGATAAGTGTAGGACTATCAAGAATGACCAGTAGGAATTTAAAGCTGAGAAATTTGCTGATGTGAAATCAAACCTCATTTTGTTGCAGTCTGCATGTAGAAAATAAGAAGTATATAAAATTTGAAATAAAAGCACAAAAGTAGCAGAACTACTTAAGGTGTTATAGAATTAATAAAGGCAACACACACGTCTTTTTATCCATCTCAACCATCTCACACACACAATAAAATCGATTAGCTGTTTTGGGTTGATAAAATGGTGAAAAAAGCCTAAAGATAAAAAAAACATCTCATGATATCAGAACTTTAGCAATTGTATTGGTAAACTAAAATCTCCATAAATGTACAAGCATAACTCCATGGAGCCTAAAGAAAGGGGTTTTATATAATCAATGACTGCTCAAAACAATAGGCATAGTAAATATCTGAAAAATAATAGCATAAATGTAATGCTTGTCTAAATTCATAAAATGGAAAACAAATGAGGCCTTTCAAAGTTTTTTTTTTAACTTAAAACGTTGACAGTTTTTTATCTTCTGCTATATTCCAAAATACCATTATGTCAGTGCATGTGTGTGTATGTACGCTTGCATAAGAATAATTAAAAATTCCTCGTACATATGAGGTATTATAAATACTTTGTTCTCTCTTGTTATTATATAATTTAGGTTTCACGTATAAAATTTTATATTTAAAATTGAATTGTAATTTTTACTGGATTAATTTTCTGGATAGCTTACCAGTGGACATTAATAACCAGGAGCAAATGACCAACATTATTAAAAGTTGTATTGGAACCAAGTTTATTGGAAAATGGTAAGTATTGGAACTGTTATGTAATATGTTAATTTTCTGTGGTAATCCTTTAAGAAAAAAAGTTAGTTTAAAAACGTATTGGTTATTTTACCCTTATCAAGAATACTTGTGTAACCTGGATAATGTTCTTTTTATATTAAGCATTATTGTAATGGTAATAACATTGTGAGCTAGGATAATAGTTATTGGTGATTTTTGAATATCAATTATTGGTATTATGTTTATAATTTTGGGTGTTGCAGGGGTAACCTTGCTTGCCAGATTGCCCTAGACTCTGTCAAAACAGTTTTTATTGAAGAAAATGGAAGAAAAGAGATCGATATTAAACGTTATGCCAAAGTTGAAAAGGTAAAAATATATTTATTTTTGTTTATTGATTTTAGTTTCATAATCATTACATTTCTATTTGTTTTAACAAAATGTAAATATTTATTCATTAGTGAATTAGGAGTTACAAAATAACTGTTAGTCACTTGTATCATTTTGTATTTTTTAATTATGTAATTAATCTTTCCTTACATTATCCTTATTTAACTTGAGTTTTTGACCTGTCTTTTCACTGTTTTTTCAAACTATGTTTAAAAATACATAAGTAGGCTAAATATATAGTTAAATAACAATTTTAATTATTACTAAATACAAAATAAGCTCCTTTAGATGTATAGTATCTGGAAATGTACATTATTTTAAAGAAATAATTTCACCAGATACCAGGTGGTACAATTGAAGAATCAAAAGTTCTCAATGGAGTCATGATAAACAAAGATGTTACTCATCCGAAAATGAAAAGGTATGATGAGTTATTTAACCATTCTTAAGTTTTTGAGATTGATTGATTAATTAATATAACAAAACCTGTGTTTTATTCCATTCTCTACTGGTTTACATAAGTGATATTACTTAATACTGCCTTAATGCTTTAAATAAAATTATTAAAAACCAATAAATTACTTGTCAAAATTAATGGGAAATAAGAACTATATAAAAAAAAAAAAAAAATTGCACACTTTCAGAACCAGGTTTGTTTATATTTCATGTTGATCATTGTAAATCTTGTGTCTTGAGAGATCCAGGATTTGTAATTTTTGCTTAGAGACATGTACGATGGAAAGTGCAAGTTTAGTTCTGCATTGTCAGGATTTGAGAATCATTAACATATTAGTATGTAGGGCTTGTATGAACTCTGTAATTAGTTTGAATATGAGGAAGTGTACAAAAAAATATAGTTGCAATAAAATATTTTATGATTATAGTGGAAGCTTAGAAATTGCAGAAACAGATAGTACAAGTATCATTGAAAGAAGGCAAAAATTAAGAATTTGTTCAACACATACATATATTTATTTATGTGGGTTTTGGTGATTCAAGTTTCTTTGCTTTTGCTTTAGAAATCTAGATCATCTTGGAAAAGTTTTTGAAATGAATGAATGTCAGATTGAGGTTTACCCTCTCAAAAATATTTTGGGAAATATGCCAGTAGATGAATAGGTGAAATCAACAGATATCAATGCATGTTAAGATCTCAATTTTTTCTTAGTTTTGAAACTTCTTAAACTGATTGATGAAAAGTCCTTACTTCACCTTAAAGTGCAAATCTAAAACGTTTACTAATTTGCATAGCATGACTGTGGCACAGCATTTAATCTAAATACTTCATAAATATCTGAAAACTGCATTTTGATATTGCAGTACAAGTTTTTCCTGTTAGATGGTAGATATTTGCAGTATGTATAATCTAAGACATATATCAAACATGTTGAAAGTTGAGCATTGTAAAGAATGGTGTGATGTGTAAACACTGGTGAAAAAAAAGAGTAACTTACTATTCACCCTTTCAGTATTGTTGGGTTATGTGGCCCTGTGTATGTTTTTGCAGGACTGGTTGGACCTGTATATCCCAGAAGCATTCATATGTCATATAAAAGAGTACTACTTGAATGTTATTTATTTCTTTGGATATACTGTGATTAAAGCTTCTTCAAAATATCTTTTTGTATGAATCAGTAATATCTTGTAAGATGTTTTTGCATTACATTCATCACAAAATGCATATGTTTCGATAAGTAGCTGTTGGTACAAAGGTAAGTCAACAAAAGTGGCTGTTGGGACACATGTTCCATGTGTAAACTTCAGAAAATGTGTGTGAAAAAAATTCCCAAAAATTGTAAAAGCATTTATATGTACTTATATTGATTCTACTTTAACAAAAGTCATACTGAAAGACTTAAAACAATCAACATTTACAATTACAATTTATTTGAATATAGTAAATTTTACATACTAAAGTTCTTGTTAGTACCTAATATCTTAAAAGTAACTTAAAGTAATTATGAGCAAATTGAGATAAGTTGTGGATTGTGAACATTATACATATCTGGGTTGATGTAAAGTATGTCTTGAAACTATGTTAACAAATTTACTTCTGGATGTTTTGAAATTCCTGTCTACACCATTTTCCAGTGCTGTGATATTCTTGCATATTGTAATATACTTTCATTGGTCTAGTGGAATTTTGGTAGTCATTGTGGTGGAGGTTCAAGTCTCCTGTCTATACACAAATAAAGAAGTTGTATATATATATATATATATATATTTTATTATTTACTTAGACGCATAGAAAATCCCCGAATCATCCTCTTAGACTGTCCTCTGGAATACAAGAAAGGTGAAAGTATGGTAAGGTTTTACTGTAGTTAACATGTTTTTCAAGTGATTTAAGTATAAAGCAAAGTTGATAGAAAAGTAGATAATTATTCCAAATAGTAGTAGCCTGTAGTTATTTGCTTGTTATCCTTCTGTTGAAATACACGAAATAACTGATAAATGTTTATGATTTATAATTCAGTTTTGGGTGTAAAGAGTGGGTTGAGTTTTTGATGGTATAGGAGATTTTATTTTAATCTTTAAAATATTTATTCGGCACATGAAAATACTTCTTGATTAAAATAACAGAAAATACCATATTTGTAAGTAAGAGTGGTGGGTCTTATGTGGTGCCCCTAGTTAACCCTTTCGAGACGGTTTACGGGTAAGAGGTCATGTCATCTCGTTTGTTGACTACTATATATGACATGAATACCCAATCGGAAGCTCAGAATATCCTCCTAATGGCTTTCTCAGCAATTTCAATGGGCTTGGATGCCATTTCTTTCTTTTGAACAAAAGTACAAAGGTGATAGCTAGAAAAGATAATTGTTTGCTTTACTTTTTTATTTACTGTTTTATGTTTTAAGAAAAATAAGTTTAAGAACTTATTTCAAAATAGCAATAATCTATATACATATATAATGTATAGTAATTGAAATTTGACTGTATTTTACAAAATACTAGTCTACTAAAATACAGCCAAGACAAGTTACTTTGTATGGACCAAAGGTCAGTTTTATGTTATTGGATACGGTAACATGAGTGCATTTGTGCTGCATCATTGTAACTTCTGTATTGTTAAACAGCTGAAAGGTCAATATGATAAAAATAATAACTATATATAAATGTATAATGTTATGAGATTTAAACTATTTAGTCTAAACATTTATGTTTTTGTGTTATAATTTGTGTGTTCATTCTAGAATGAAAGAGGCATAATTTAATTTCCTAATTTTTTGTGGTTACAAGATTGGTCAAATATTTTGAACCCGTACAGACAAACATTACTGAAAATAACAGATAAAATATAAAGTTTTTTCTTAAGAAACATTTGATAACTATCTCAATATTATAAAGATTTTGCATTTGAAATTTGAAAATTTTCTGATGCATAAAAGTATTCTGAATCTTACAATGAAAATTACTTGCCGTGTTAGATAGGCAACATGCGAAAAGAAAAAAAAAGGCATGAAAAAAACATTGCTTTACAAAAATTAAGACTGAACAAACAAAAATTGATATTTTGCGTATGAAAGCATTATAATGTGTACTGATAATGTACCAAATTTCGTTAACATCCACTTAATAATTTAAAAGTTACAAGCATAAAACTATAACAAGCACAATGGGTATGAGGTCGGTCCGAGGGACCAATCTCATGCAGAAAGAGTTAAATGTTTTAATTTGAAAGTGGGATTTTACATATTGTTGGACTTAAAACTATTCTTTTTAAAACATTAGAACAGAAACCAATTTTTTTTTTTTTTTTTTTGTTCCAGACAAATCTGGAATTATCAAAGGAAGAAGACTTCAGCCGAATCTTGGAACTAGAGGAGGAATACATTCAGCAGGTCTGTTCTGATATCATTCGCCTGAAACCTGATGTTGTGTTTACAGAAAAGGGAATTTCTGGTAAGTCTAAAACATTATTGTTATTACAGATGTAATAGGTTATCAGTTCTCTACAGCAAATATTGCTGAAACATGGATAATTTGAAATATTGGGGGGGGGGCATTTCTGTGTGTGTGTTTTGAAAGCACTTTAAATTTATACTTAAGCATTCATTAGTAGCTTTCTATCTCCATATTTAAAATTATATCAGTTTTTATCACAAAGCCTAACTTTTCTTTGGCACTGTAATTTGAAAATACATTTCAGACACTATTGTAAATAAACTTCACCTGCAGAGTTGTTTTAGGTCTTGAAGAAATATTACAGCATAATGACATAACCCCAGACTTTGTGCTGCATCGGCCACAGGCATGCCAGTACTTGTTTTGTAGACAGAGATTATACTGGAAATCAAGTCTATTATTATTCATGTCTATTACACTTTTAATGGTGACATGAAAAAGGTATGAAAACAAAATTTGGTGTATTTGTAAAAATTTTACTACTAACTCTCTCTGTATAGGCTTGGTCAATTTGACAGAACACATGACCTTTTTGTACTAATTTAAAGTCTTTATAGATTTAATACTTGTAGCTCTCAATGTAGTGGGAATATCTTCATGAAATTTGCCTGTGTTTCAGTTAATATTACAAGTCTTTCACATACAAAAAATCATATTTTTAGTGAAGTATAAATAAAGATTTGTCCATTAATATAATTGATTATTTGTTTTGAATAGTCCTTGTGCAAAGTAATTTTTATGTTAAAATAAAAAATACTTTTCCTCATCTGAAAAATCTGAAATTTCCTTTGTGTAATCCCTTAAACCTCCTAAATGCATTTCAGACGTTTTTCTTTGGTAAAAGTATAGTTTACCTGTTATTTTCTCTACTCTTTTTCACAACGACCTCATAACTACTAAAAAAAATCACAATAAACCTAAATTACCCTTTTTTCTTACTAGAGTGACTTCAAATTGTAACATGAAACTACATTCGTTTATCCTAAGTAGCTCTAATCTAGTAGCAATATACATCTATTTATAATTAAATTTTATATTTTTTTGGCCTTTGAACCGTATCTAACTAGTGTCTGTGCCATTATAAGTTGTAAATCACTCGGAGAACGTGCAGGTCATGTTATGCTTTTGAATTACATTATTCACATCCTGCTTGTGCACATGCCTCATGAACCATTTTAATTATGTTATTGTTATTATTACTTATTTTACCTAATCCATATTTTTATATTTTAGTTACTTTTATAATTATAAGTAAAGAATAAATACGAAAAACAAGAAATAAAGAACTTACCCAAACTTCTTTCTTGTTCTTGATTGTCGAGGACAGTTAAGCCTAATTTTTTAGAGTAATGATAGTAATGCACTTAATAATTTTTGTTTAATTAAATAATGCACCAAAGAATATAGACTAATAACATGCAAAAAGTAGACAAATTCTCTTACCTCTCAAAATTTTTCTGGCTTTCTGACTATGTTACAAGAGCCGTTACAAATTCATCCAAGCTAGCTGTTAACTTTCCCACAGGAACGAATCTTGTACTGTGAACGAAATTGATGATATTCTGTTCAGGACACAACATTATACAATATGTCATTTGATAGATGAAAACCATGACTTTCTTATTGGTTATAGGTAATATATAATGTAGTGTAAGAGAAAACTATCAAACTCGTGAAAGAGAGGATGTGGCAGGAGGGGTCTGATTTTCTATTAGAGCAATAATGATTTTTATAGAGAGTAATTTACGTTTAATTTCATACTTTTTCGTGGATAAAATAGGGATGATGACGTGCTAAGAGAAAATGTCACGTTGGTCACACTATTGAAAATTTAGGATTTTTTAAAATATTGTCTTGTAGAATTAAGAAGTTAAAACTTGTATACTATTATAATATGGATTATTAGTTATGATTTTATGCTATTCTAATTGGTATAACACAAACAATAAGTAGTTTAATAAAATTTTGAATGTAAGACACTAAAACAATAAAGGATTCCCAGGGCGATAGGGTTGAAGAGTTGATTTAAGTTGGCATCTAGTTAATTACAATTTTAAAAAACTAACATAAATGCATTTACGTGTAGCACAAGTGTTAAATGTTATTTTTAGAAGCAATAGTTTATTGCAAGTTTGTTTACATAACTTCACGAAGCATATGTTGTGTAGTTCAATAGTTGTGAATTGGTAATTGTTGTATTAATACATCATGTTATTAGAACCTTCTGAGTTTTCTTGTTGCTTTAATTGAGTATTATTGATTATAATATCTCGTAGTGTGTAGAATGTTCTAGGCCTCTGTCTGGCCATAAATACGCATCAAACATTTAGTTAGATAGATTTAAACTGAGTGATTGTGAGTTTAACCATAAAGAGCATACAGTGGTGATTTCTAAAGTGAATTATCACTGTTCTGTAATTACAGAACAGAAAGAAAAATTTGTCTTGTCAGATTGTGTTCTAAAGTAACTGAACCAACCTGTGTGGACTTGGACAGAAAAGACAATTATTTAAAGTTCTGGATACAATTGTGATAACCAACAGTGTAATGAACATTTGTATCTATGTTTGACTTGTTTTAATATATTATTTTAAAACAAGTGGACTGTGTGCTGTTTGTTTATTGCTGAAATTTCATAGACACCTACTGTAAAGAATGTGGCCCATCCATACATAAAAATCTGATAATGAAGATGCCATATTTGGAATGCTTGGCAACTTTAAAACTGGTGGCCTTTGTAAAATGATACCTGGCCATGGTAAGATTTGTTTAACAGTGGCCACCTTTGCTGTCATGTGAAAAGTATGAAATTTGAGCATCACTGTATTCTATGTTACAACAAGCAAAAATATTGGCATACATAATCAACTACAAGAACACTATATATCTGTGCTATGCTGATAGCCCACAGATATATCATTGCTCCCCTACAAGTAAATTTTTTTCAGTAAATAAGTTATGTTTATCTGAACATTATTTAAAGTCCCCACAACCAGTATTCATTGAAGGAAATCACTATACTCTGGGCATATTACATCATTAGCATACTTGAAGGATGTCAAAATGAACAATTAGATTAATACATTAGTAAAATTTACTGTTTGTCAAGTGAAAAACAAGATGCTAGAGAAAGGAAAGAATAAAGCCTGAATTTAAAGATGAGCATGTCCAGTTTGACAGAACCCGATTAACAGTTTTGGTTTTGTTTTGAAACTAGGTTTCAGACTATGGTGTATTCTCTTGGGATATTGATTATCAATTATGTAGTGTATTATGTAATTATGTATGTATGGTCCATATGTTAGTCTAAATCCAAGGACCATACCAGAATAAAGTGCAATTACTTTCAGTAAAAGTTTTACTTGATAGCAGTTTTTATTCTGTTCAATAAGCATCATTATACAAGAACGTAATAAACTAGACACTTGAGTCAGTTGAGTGGTGTAATACTGTTATGCAGTTTGCACACTGCAACTTACCATAGCCTTAGGAGGAAAATTGTACGTTATGATGGTATAGGAATAATTCAACTGTAAGCATTGTGGATGCTTTATCAGCAGGTTTGATTCTAAATATGTAGTGTGTAATATGTAAAATTAGAATTTACAACTTAGTTATTTGTAGGTATAAATAACTTGGAGATCTTGTGAACAAACAGAACTTGTGTAAACCTGAAAATGTTTTTGGTAATGTGATCTATATATAAATATATTGTCATATTAATTCAAAGATTACAATATTTTTGATACAGGTGTACTTCACAAGTAAGTTTCAAAGGATGTGCAAAAACAGTACAGTGTGCTCTGAATAAGTGAATCATTCTGATACATTGTCTTACCTCTTATCACATAGGTTTTCTTGTTCAGTGCTGCCCACTATATATGCAAATTTATTTTACTATTAGCCTTGAAACTCCTACCAACCCCACATTTTTACATTGTTCAGCTGGTTTTTGCTTCATTTATGCAGTGATAATCTTGTTGTAATTTATTAATTTTGAACTTCACTCCAGTTGAACTTGAATTCTGAATCTTATTTCACTACCACTAGTTCACTACTTATGAATATTACAACATTCCAACCTGCTGTGTCTCAGGCTACAGACCTTACACTTTTGGTAGTGGAAGTCAGTTTTTTGATGGGAGTTGGAGTTTATCATGCAGCCAGCAGTTTCTTCCAAGTCCAGACCTGACATTTCTTAACTGGTGAATGTGGGCAAGATTAAGTCGATTTGAATGTTTTTTTCTCCATCTCCTTCCTTGGTCATGCAATCCCGATTTTCTGCCTGTGGATACCCCCAGGCCGTAATTAGCCTTCTTGATATGGGGACACAGGTATGTTACCTTTTATTGGTATCCCTCCTCAATTAGGTCCCTTCCTTGGTATACCTAATTTTCATTTCTTATCCAGATATTGGGTCCATGCCGACCAAATTTTCTGGTGAAGTTTTCTCAAGCTCACTTGCCCCACCCCAGTTGGATCCTTGCTACACTCTTCAGTTATCATTCTTCTAATTATCTCCAGTATGTGGTTATCCACTCCCCTCCCCAACCAGAGTTTGGGAGGGCACTGGATCCCATATGTTTTTGTTGAAGTTCATTACAGTTAGAAACTTGAAGTTGTTCTCTGCCTTTTCCCAAATCCTATTCAAAACTGTCCCCTATGCTATTTATCCTTTACAACCTATTTCCTGCCCCTTTCCCCTGTCCCTGTGGTTGTGGAGAGATCAGATGTTTTTCTATAGAGTTATCATGTTTTCTATCATCAGACCTTGGTTCTACTGTATCCAGGTTGCCATTTTCTCCTTAAAATGTCTGTGGCTCAAGCAGACAATGTCTCCTTTACACTGATTTTCCCTACCTTCCATTTCCCATTTGTTTTCTTGTTTGGATCTGGATAGTGTTATGCGTGATCTCAGTTGTTATTTGTCTGCACGGCTTTCTTCCATGGATCCTGTTCCTGTTTATTTATCCACTAGAAACTTTACACTTTAAGCGACATTTCACTCGCCACCTTCACAGGTTGGATTTACCAACTTATCAGGCTGGTGTACTCATCCCTCTCTCTCCAAATTCCATACAGTTTGTTTTTACAAGTGTCATCACATCCGATTAAACATCTTACCTTTCCATGGTGAGTGATGCCTGTCCAGGTATACTTATTCTTAAATCTCCACTGTAGAACCAATAAGGTCAATAATGCCAACTGTTGAGATGGGGTGTTCTGCAAGACTGCTAGTAGGTTCTTCCTTGCAGTGTTTTGCATCATAAATATGGAGTAGCATGAGTAAACCAGAAGGGGATTGCTGTTTATCCCTGCTGCTCCTTTAATTGCAGAAACCAGGAATGGTATGCTTTTAGAAATAGGGTTTTGCAGTCACCCTTTGCACTTTCTCCAGTGCTGCATTTTTACTGACTCTCTGACACATTATTTACCTTCCTTCCATTGGAATAAGGAAGTCCTTGCCACTTACCAGCTCCTAGTCGCTGTAGTAGTGGATCATGGAGGCTTCCTCCTGAGTGTGCTAAATCCCACAGTAGGTGGGTGGTGTTAATCCAGTGTACATGGCATGACTATCCTCCTACCATGGACATGATGTACAATTCCAGATGCCTTATGGTTTTGGACTGGATTCTTCCATCACATGGAGTTCACCTTTCCAGCTGGGACCTTCCTCCTACTGGGTGCTGAACAATACATTACCAATGCCACATGGTTTTGGATTGGTGTTGACCCTCCACCATTGTACTGCTGTCTGGATGTCGGTTCTAGGGAGGACAGATCTTGATTTTTAAGCATGGATTCTTAGAACTGAAATTCTTTCCTTTCTGGTTCCTGAGTCTGAGGTGAAGATAGTAGAGGACCCCCCTCCTACTGTGGCCCAGATGGTCCATTCCCAGTACCACTACTTGGATTGGAATTGACTTCCCAATTACAGTCTGATATACCCTAGCCACTCTATACATGAAGATGACTGGCTATGGTTGGTCGAGGACCCTCCTCCTACCGTGGATTGGATGACCTATTCCCAGATATGTTGGTTTTAAACTGGAGTCAAACTCCCATTTACAGACCAGATAAAAATTGTTGAGGACCCTCCTCCTACTATGGATGGAATGATCCATTCCTTGTTCTACTGGTTTTGGACTGGAGTTGACCTCCCAACTATGGTCTGACATGCCCTATCCACTTTAACGTTGGACATGTATGGCTGATTTTTGTATGTGCCTCTTTGCTGCCCAGTTAATGACACATTCATTCATTAAGGGTGGTATACCTGGTTCAGATGTGATGCAGTCTCCCACTAGTGTGTTCTTCAAGCAAGAGAAGTCACAAAGTCGCACTCAATAGGAGTTCTCTGGATGTTTTCCAAAGGATGCTCATCAAGTTAAGGTATATATTGCTATGGTCCCTCCATCAGGTCAGTGTGGGATTCTAGATATTATGTGAGAAGAAGTAAGATATTGTATTTGAAATTATTATTTTCCTATACAGAAAATATATTTTCGATAGGTACTTACTTCTCACACTTCCTCCCCACTTCTGCTGCTTCTTTTCTGCCTAATCTCGAAGTGAAGATTTGGTTCTACAGTATAGTAAGAGCCAGCTGTGACAGAAGAGTGCACACCTATTAGTGGAGGATTGTCACATGCTTATTTGCATGCTACAACACAGCTGAACCACATAGAAATATGGGGTAGGTGGGAATTTCAAGGCTAGTGGCGAGCAAAAAATATTTCTGCATATAGAGGGAAACACAGAAAAAAGCTATTATGTGAGAGGAGGTAAGTATGTATCAAATATATATTTTCAGTGTAAGAAAATATTAACTTACACAGATGTGTGCAATTGTTTTATAGATATCAGAAATATGAGTCTACTGCAGTGTATCATTATCAAATGAAAATTGTGTATCTAATTTAAAATTAAAAAGTATGATCAGTATGCACTGTCATAAACAAATGATAAACTGCCTTTGTTGTGTATATTCTGATTAAATATCAATTCAAGAACAGCATGACCAATAAATCAATTTTTTAATATAACATTTAAGCAAAACTGATTCTTAACATACAGCATGTTTTGTTTTTTGTTAAAAATACAGGAATAATGTCTTACAATTTCATAGTTTATTAGAGGTAACAATACATGAAGAACATAGATAAAATGCTCAGGAAAAGTCTGAGAATTTCATTCTGCCAAAGTTGTGAGAATTATTTTGGTATAAACTGTAGACATATGCTACATGTATCATTGTAGACATAGATAATGAATCATAATAAAGCAACATAGCACCACCAATATATATATATTCCTACAGTACACTCACTAAGCATTAAATCATCTTATTACCATAATTTATTTAAGGAACTGTACTGCCTTGTAATGTACTGTGTAGCATTCTGTTGGTGTGTCTATTTGTTTTACAATAAGTTAATATATTTTTTAAAAAAAGGAAAATTCCAGTAGAGGCTTTGAAGCATTGTCTGGCTAAAGGGATTGTTTTTTGTTTTTTTTTCAAGTTTTTTTTTTTTTTTTAATTAGTTTCTTTAAAAATAAGGAATGTTCATTAGTTATTTTATATAAATATTCTGTTTTATATCATTCAGATCTTGCCCAACACTTTTTTGTGAAGGCTGGAATATCAGCAGTTCGGCGAGTTCGCAAAACAGACAATAATAGAATAGCAAGGTACAGTCATTTATGATAACTAGATATGTTTTTATATAAAATTTTATACTAAATTCAAAGTTATTTATATTTTATTGTACAAAGTTTATATCTTATGTAAGTAATCTATTTATATCTTTGATTTTAATCAGGGATTGCACAATTTGCTACAATTTTAACGTGGAAAGAAGTAGAGGTGAACAGTAGTGAAAGTTATGAAACATATTATTTTAAATAATTGTAAAAGTTTAAAGGAAGAATAAAACAACTTGTACGAGATATGTATGTACAGGAGGTGAAATATGAATTGTCAAATTTTTATTTATACATATGTTTTTTGAAGAAAAATATTTTCTTCTCAGAAGTTCCTTGATTTTTACACCCATTTTAGTAGAATAATAGATTATTTCCAATTTATTTGTAGTTGAAGTATTTCAAATTTACTGAAAAATAATTAGTAATTATACACTTTCTACTGGATTTTGTGCTAATTAGAGAAATACTGAAGTAATTTTTTTAATATAATTAAATGACATATTTAGAAAAATTGTACTTTAAATTTGAAATGGTCACAGTTATAAAATGAATTTAAAATTAATTTGTGGGCTTCCTTCTTGATAGCATCCAAGGTTGCATAGTAAATTCATACTCTTCTTACAGATCTTGTGGAGCAACAGTTGTGAATCGCACTGATGAATTGAAAGAAGAAGATGTAGGGACAGAAGCAGGATTGTTTGAAATTAAAAAGATTGGAGATGAGTAAGCCATTCTTACATTGATTCATTTGTTAATGGTTAAGTTTTGTTTTTTTAGTTCATTTGAAACTTATGGGGTGTCATTGATATTCCATGTTCTTTTCATTCCAACTGTGAAAATATTTAAGCTATATTGCATCAAACTTGATGCAAAATTTAAAGGTAATGTCTAGTTTTTGCATGAAAAATTTGTGAGATTTGATTTAATATCTGTTTGTTTATTTTAGGTGTCAAACATTGTTTTGGAAAAACTAAAAATTCTTTTTTTTTCAGCTCACTTTTTTTGTGACTGATCTGAAAGCTTTGTATATCCACCCAATTTTAACTTGTTTGATCATCATCAGTATATTTCTTTGATACATTATTTTTTTTTATTGAAGCAATCAACTTCCCACTGTAAATTGTACAAACACAATATGATTTAGCTATGAAAAGTATCTCACTTTTCAGTACAGCAAGAACTTTACCTTTATCAAGTAAGGTAGCAGTAACATTTAACCATCACTATCTTAGGTTGAGATCAATTTACCTCTGATTATAATTTCTTTACAAAAAAAAGTTTGTTTGTTTGTGTATGTTGTTTGAGCACAATAAACTTAAATCATATTTATTGAACATATGTCATGTAAATAGTTTACTATTGCACACAATAGCGAGCTTTTGATACTTGATAGACCTCAATATTATTAACTGAAGTTTTGTCATTAAATAACATTTCTGTAGTTTTCAAATAGTATAATACAAGTACATTACAAGGAATGAAAATAAAATCTGGAACTGTGTCAAAGAAATTAAATTTTTGTTTCATAATTGAATCATTTAAAAATTGATTTCTAACTTTGTTTCAACTTGTTGCTAATCATTATCACTAAAATGCTTACTGTCTAGTCATTTAGTTTTTTGAATAACAGAGCTACAACCAAACTTAGAAAAATGGCTTAAAATCAGAATATAAATTGCTAACTTTCTTTGAAAATAGTTATTTTTGTTTAAGGATAAACTATATATACGAATAGAACATGGAAACTATTGAATAAGGTTTATGTAAACGATATCAAATGAATGGAATCTTCCTTTGTTTCTCCACAAATTTTGCATACATTGGTAGTATCTTCCAGATTTAGTTATTGGAATTACAAAAATAAGTATGATATAAGTAACATTTGCCAGTTGTCTGTTGTGATTAAACATCAGTAGTGTATTTGTTTACCCCAAGCACTGTGTTGTTAAGTATCATTTCCAGTGTTTGAAAAGCTCTAAATATTTCTTTCAACATATATATACACATAAATGTAAAACAAACATACATTGCTTAACAACATTTTTTATTTTTTATACTCTGTTCACAAGTTTCCCAAGCATTTGGCATTATAATTTTACATAATGTGTAGAATTAATTTTCTAAAATATGCAAAAGATACTAGTAATTTTTTGTGTGTTTTCCTGCTGTTTGATACAACTACTCTTCCAATATAAATATTGAAGTTGATGAAGATCATCTGTAAGGGCTCAGACATGTGCTGTCTTTTGTATTAACATTTATCAGTAAAATTCATAAATTGTGGAACATGTAGGCACTTCATGTTTGAAACAGTATATTGTTGAAAGTTGCTGCACTTTATATTTCTAGAACCATTGTTTATGATGTGTGGTTTAAGTGGATGCAATACAAATTTTTTAATGGTATTCAGTTTACTTCCTTTTTGTCCTTATATTGAGTTTTGATTCTGTGCTTATCCAGAAAAAAAATATTGACAGTACTTAATTGGGAAAAATAAAAACCTCCTACCTACCCAACTTTCTTGAACAAGGTTGGGCATGGGCAAAATAACTTGTTAGAAGTAGTGAGTGAAATCTTACCACCTAGTCAATGTGGAAAATCTGAATTGGAATTCTATAACTGTCTGTAAAGTAGTAACTGAAATCCACTTAAATTGTGTTAATTGTTGGAGTCTTGGAAAGTTTTTGGGTTAAATACTTTGAATTTAAACATTCAGCCTGAATGCTTTGTTCGTATATCTTTCAAGCAGTCTTGCATATTAAATTTCAAAATGTTGTCAGTAATGAAGTATTACCAGCCTAATGTTATTAAAGAACTTAGAATTTAAAGTTTATTAAGATATTAGGAAGTTTAGTTACAGATTATCATATCTCAAATCAGCAAGTTTTTTATTTTCATAGCTTATTGAAAGGTACAGTGGTATACAAATCATTGTAATCAAGTGTTTACATAGCATTACAAGTTGAAATTGTACGAAAATATTTTTTTAGGTATTTCTGCTTTGTCACTGAGTGCAAAAACCCTAAAGCCTGCACCATCTTACTTCGTGGAGCTAGTAAAGACATTCTTCATGAAGTAGAACGAAATCTACAAGATGCGATGTCTGTCACAAGGAATGTGATGATTGAACCATATCTCCTACCTGGAGGTGGTGCTGTAGAGATGGCAGTAAGCCAGGTAGGTTTTTATCTTTTTTTTTTCCCCAAGTTATGTCTAAGCATTGACATATAGCTGCAGAAATAAAGCATGGAATGTGAGAAGCTCCAAGATTCATCACAAAGCAGGCTATCCTGCTAAAGGTATGCTATTCACGTGACTTTGTTTTAATCTACACAATATTTAACCACTAGGAAACTTAAGGACTACCATGAAATGATAACTAAAGCAGTTATGATTGTGGGGATACAAGGAAACAGTTAGTATATACTGAAAATTCTAAGGCACAACACATACAAACACATCTCATGCTGTACACCCTATGGGAGATTCATTTCAATTTTTAACCCAAGATTGGGGTATTTACCTTGACACTGGAGATTTCTGGTCTCTGGTTGGCCGAGGAGTCTTCTCTCCATGTTGGTTCGTCAAGCTTTGTCCTACTTCGTTCGTCTCCTGTGAGGGAGGGTGGTTATGGGACACTCTAACAACTCCACAGTGGTCACTTTTGTCACCAAGCAAAGGGGTACCAAATTCAGATCTCTGTGCTTTCAGACCCTTGACCTCCTTTTCTGAGCCCACAGTCTCCACATAGTGGTCTTAGCTTGCTATGTTCCTGGCACCCTGAATCTGGTTGTGGATCGTTTATCTCAACCCAATAAAATTCTTCCCACTGAGTGGTCCCTCAATCCACAAGTCTTTTGATTGGTATGTTCTCAGCTGGGAACACCTCATATAGATGCTTTCACCATCCACTGGAACATCAAACTTCCTTCCTTTTGGTCTCCAGTTCTACACCTGCTAGCTCTGGGAATGGACACATTCACTCAAGATTAGAGGGGTCAACACATCTATGTTTCCTATCCAGAGTTCTATCCCTAATCCAAATCTGTGTCTAGTCCCACTTGTGGCTCTGTATTGACCGGCACAACCATGGTTCTTTCTGCTCTGACCTTTACTTGTACAATCTCCCCTACTCCTACCTCTGTCTCGGTCTCTACTCTGTCAACCTTGGTCGGACATTGTTCATCCTGACTTCATGCATTGCTGTTGTCAGGTCCATTGCCTCAGCTCAGGGACTGTCTCAGTGTGTTGCATCTTTCCATTCCTGATTTATCAGCCCTTCTTCTGTGTCTTTACACCAAAGGCAGTGGTCTATCTTCTGTCTTTGGTCTTTTTGATGTGACTTCCGTCATTCCCACCCTTCAGTTCCTTATCTTTCCCAGTTCTTCACCTGGTTGTTTGACATAGGCTTGTCTGTTTCGACTGTGTCTAGCTATCAGGTGGCCTTGTCGAACACCTTCCGTTTCTCCAAGTTTTGTAAGATTTTGTCTTCCCGTCATTTTCCTCCTTTTCCATTCCTTTCAAGTCATGCATCTTCCATGTTCCTTTGATTTGCCTAATTGGGATTTCAGTGTGGTCCTTTATGCTCTTTGCTATCCTCCATTTGAACATTTGTCTGTGTTCTATATACCATCTCTCCCTCAAGACTTTTTTCCTTCTCCTCCTTCTTTGGACGTCGTCAATTAGATATTTATGTTACCCACATCCGCGACCATTCCTCTTGTCATCCTATATCCCAACAGGTCCTTCATTTCTAAGACCTATGCTGTCTGCAAAAGTGATTAGGCTTTCACACCCATTTCCTTACTTTCCAGTTTACTCCTTATATTGTTATGTGGCACGTACTGCCTCCTTTGGACTTCACATTTCCAACTTTTTATTCCCTGAAAACCTTCCATTCCCCATGATCAATCCCCTGTTACATAAACTAGTTAGGTTTGTCAATTCGTTAGCATCGCATGGAAGATAATTGTCTCCACAATGTTCTCTTCATATTGGTGATATCACCATGTCTTTGGCTGCTTGCCTTCAATGTCTTTTAGAGGCAATTACTCAGGTTGGAATGTGCACTACTAAAAATACCTTCATTGCTCATTATCTGCATGATCTGTTTGTATCTTTCTCAGGTGGATATTCTCCCTCCAATGGTGATTCTACACATGTCCCTTTACCTTTGATTATAGTAAGTCTTATCACTTTTATTTATGCTTTTATTTTCAGTAACCTTTGTTTTTACCACTGATAATAGGATGCCACTCTGTGGCGGGTGTTGCCTGGTCAGATATACTTTACCTCAGACCCATGCTATTTACTGATTGTACTACAATGCTCACTGTAGAGATGGGATGTTCTGCAAGACAACTAGTGGCATACTCAGTGGTATATATAAATATATATGTTTCTATATATCATAAATTTCACTCCATGATAGACCGTCACACATAGATTTCATGAATAATGCAGAAGGGAATTTCTGCCCATCCCTGCCAACCCTTTGATTGAATAAATTGGGGTCAGCTTGCTTTTTAAAACAGAGAATCATGAACACCCATTACATTTTTATCCTCATTGTGTTTACTTCCCCCATTTTTTTTTCTTTCAGTGGAGCATGGGAGTCCTTTACACTTCCCAGTTCCCATGGGCCATAGAGGCTTCCTCCTCAGTGAGTTTAGAAATGTAATTTATCATACGTACTCATGAGTATACACTCAGTGTGAAGAGGGCAAAGCTGCTTTTCCTCCTTCCATTTCCCATGGATTTTTTTTCCCAGGTAAACAGCTGTTGATAGGAGTAGGTTCAGCCTATGCGGGATCCTACTCATAATACCAAGTTTTGGAATTTGGGAAGACATCGCACTGTTCCTGTGGTTGTGTGCAATGGAGGCTCCTCTTCTAATTAATTGCGGTTGCAGGAGGTAATTTCTCTGCTCCTACGGTTGAGTTTGGGGAACTTTGTCTTCCTCGTTATACCAGCAACAGGACATACGTACATTGTTCCTAAGATTGAGTGAATGTTCCATGTCCTCCTTTTAATAGTGGGTACAGGATGTCTCTTTTCTGCATTTATGGTTGAGTGAGTTATGATTTCTGCTCAAAATACTGGTTACAGATATTACTTTGTTCTTTCAGTTGTGTTGACACAATGACACAACTTCATAATACCGGTTTCAGTTTTTTGTATTTCTTGCTCCTATGGTGGGTTTGGGAGTTTGTCCAGTTTTGGCAGAAAGCTAACTTCTTTGTGATTGTGGTTGCTTGACATGCGGCATTCTGTTTACCATTTAATTGTGGTTTGGAAACATATGTAACATGGTCCATGTGACCTAGCCTCTATGTTGATGTTGCAATATATTTGTTTTTGTCTTTTTGATCTTCAACCTCTTAATGCCAAGGATGAGTTATTGACATTCATCTTTTTCAGTTGAGGTTGTGTATATACATTGCTAATTCAGTTTATATTTTACTGTGGTTTGCACCTCTCAGACAAATTGCACTTGTGCACATCCTTTTTTCTGTCCGTGTTAGGTTTATGTCCTGCTTCAAAGGTGAAGAACATACCTGTTCCAGAAGTAGTACAGTACCCCACAAGTGGGGCCAGCTTAGGTGCACAACATTGAAGCTAAGTGTAAAGCGACTGTCCAGAATGAACAAGTATGCTTCATTTTCATCTCGAAGCTCGACCGTTCATTTTTGGGTGGTTGCTTTCTGCTTGGTTTCAATGTTGTGCTCATAAGCTGGCCCCCTCCATCTTTGCAATGTGGGGTTCTAACTATGTGTATGTGTGAGAGGAGGTAAAAACATATCAAAAGTTAACATTTTCTTACATTGAAAATGTATTTCTGATAGGTACTTACCTGTCTCTCACACTTCCCACCATTCCTCCTTACTGTCGGTATTCTTCATTTAGTTTGCCAATTCTTGAAAGTGAGGGTTGAGTGGGAATAGTAGAGGGAGCTAGCTGTGCCAATATAGGTGGTGCAATACTTTTGGTGTAGAATAGTCGCATGATATTTACATGTTTAAAAAAATGAGGCAAAATTGATAGGGTATCAGGATGATGGTAGTGGAAACTATCAAAACATGTAATTTTTAATTTTTTAAACTTTTATTCTATAATGTAAACATTGTTTTGTCTATATTTTTAAATAGTTTTTATTGCACAATGTTGCCCTGTTTATATTTTATATAACACATATTACTCCTACTGTTAAAATAAAAATACTTTAAGTTTGGTGATAGATATGTAGTGTAATGGCAGCATGATGTGGCATTAAAATTGATGTGTAAGCCACGTGACAGAATAGTTACTTGTAATATTCAATGAAAATTATACCTTTTTGTTTCAAAAACTATAACTCTGAAAGTAACTATCTTCACTAAATTTGGCAAGCTTTCTGTAAACTTTAAAAGCCCTTAATAAACAAAGAATTAGAATTTTTATTAAGTATTTTTACTGAAACCTTCTGTTTGATTTTATGGTGTCAGAGTGTTGATGGTTCAGTGATTTTCATATTAAGATTAAGAATACTTTCTTCATCAGTAAAATTTCGAGTTTTAGTTGCATAATTTTTCAAATCTCCAAACTAAATATTGAGGCTTTTTTCCAGATAAACTTTATATTTTATCTGTTATTTTGTTTACTGTAACTATATGAGGTTGGTCAAATTGACCAACTTCGCAACCATCCAAAAAATTAGAAAGTCTTAATTTATCCTTTGTTCTCTACAGAATGACTTTAAATTGCAACATGAAACTTGATTTGTTTATCCTAAATAACTTAAATATTGTAGCAGTATACATCTGTTTATACTTAAATTTTGTTTTATTACCCTTTGAACCGTGTCTAAACTAATATTCATGCCATAAAATTTAAAATTACTTGGCAAATGCACAGCTCACGTTACCCTATCAAATTATGTAACACATAGGCTTTCTTCTGAAAAAAATTTATTATTCTTTATTTTACCTTATCCAACCTAAAAGGTTTCAAATTTTTTAAATTTATTTACTTTTATAATAATAAATAAAGATTACATTTGAAAAACAAGAAATAAAGTACTTACCTGGGTTGTCGTTATTTTGCTGTCGATAATACTTAACCCTACTTTGTTATACTAATGCTACTACTGCAATAAATTTTTCATTTAATTGAATGATGCTCTAAAGAACACTGAATAATACAAAAAGCAGGATGTATCCCATAACTATCACAATCTTTCTGGCTTTCTAACTATACAACAAGAGCTGTTACAAATTCATCCAAGCTAGTCATTGTGTTTCCCGTGTGACTGAAGCTTGTACTGAAAGATAAATTAACATCTCTGTACAGAAAAACAACATATTATAATAAGTCCTTTGATAGATGAAAACTTTGGCTTTCTATTGGTTATAAGTAATATAGTATTAAACATACGAGAACTATTGACAAGTCCTGAAAGAGAGGATGTGACAGGTGGGTGTGACAAGAGGGGTTTGATTTCGATTTAATGGCTCTGTAACCAAACAAGATAGAAGGCTATGAAAATTATTCTTTACCTAAGCAATGAAAACATTATAGTGAGTAATTTACATTAAATTTCGTACTTTTTGGAGGGGTGGTAAATAAATTAGAGAAGAGGGGATGCCTAAAGAAAAAATATTGCATTTCTCACACTCGGGGAAATTCAGGATTTTTTTTTTAAATATTGCCTTATGAAATTAAGAACTTAACTTAAATAATATTAAAATTTGATTTATTAACTACAATTTGATGTCAATTTTATATGTATATATTGATAATTAGCTTAATTAAATTTTGAATGTTACTCTGAAAGGTTGACATGCACACTTTGACCTACATGATGTGAAAGGGCTAATGAATCTTTATTTGGTTAAGGCTGTAAAAGGACTAGTGTTTTCATTGAAAATGTACATAATCCATTTATGGCTTTGTGAACTCATGAAACTTTGCTTTTTAACTCTTAGCTTTTGTGCAGTATATTTTTTAGTACTATTAAAGGATCAAATTTTATATTTTGATATAAGTATACATAAGTCAGTCTTCAAAACTTTTCAGAACTTGGCTTAATTTGTCAATCATTTTGAAGTGGACAAAGTCATACTGCCTCATCAACAGTTTTGAAAACTTGTAACCTACAAAAATTTTGTTTATTTCAGTTTAGACCCCAAGATTTTCAGTTATGTATTGTGATAATGAGTAACTGGGGTTACTACTGTATGGCTGATAATCATGGTTTACAGTAGATATATATTTGTAGTTTTTCTGTTTTGAACGATAAGAATATTAAAAATGGCTATCAATGCATTTTTTTTAAAGCTTAAGAGAAAATGTAATTATTTTCAACTGTATTTTGCAGCTTCTGCTAGAAAAATCAAAACTTATGACTGATATTCATCAACGACCATATCAGGCAGTTGCTAAAGCTCTTGAAGTTATTCCACGAACTCTAATACAAAATTGTGGTGCTAACATGATTCGTACTTTAACTGCTTTAAGGGTGAGTTCACATTCCATTTAATATATTGTAATTTATGTTTAGAAATAAAGTGCAAAACGTAGTTTATAAGTTAAAACATAGATTGTATATATATTTTTTAAACAAGAATATTATCATTAGATTGGGATTTGATATCCATCTACTAAATATTCTAAGCTATGTTTTCAATGTTTTAATTTAGATGTTTGCTAGAGGTAGCTTGTCATTACATGATGATGATGTGATCAAAAGGTTTTGTGTAGTAATGAGAACAAGTACAATATAAATTAGAGACTCTAATTGTGGTTAGTTAATGTAATCAGTGAGTGATTCAGTTCTGTGTTATAATAAGAGTTATTGCATCTATTCAGTAATACTTTTTGATTTAATGTGTTGGTTCTGCAGTTAACTTTATTAAAGAGTTGGATATACATTAGTATTACTGTTTCTGTTGAAATGTTTGTGAACTTAGGCCTACAGTTTGGGTTAAAGTGAACATAGCCCATAGCAAATGTCATTGTAGTTAAAACTTAATTTGATATGGTTATGTGGACTGGACATGGCATTATTTTTACTAAATAATCCTAAAGAACCTGCTCAGCAATATATTGTAGTAGGTGTAGTAACTAATTAGACCAATAGTAATTGATGGACAAAGGGTGATACAGGTTTCATACTTTAATCAGTACCATGAAGAGTATAAGTGATTAAAATGAATAAGATTAAGCAGTTTTGCTCTTTCAGTCATTAAATTACCACAATGTTTGTTTTTTTCTCCAACCTTATGTAAGATGTGTGTGTGTGTCTATATATATATAAAAGATAAATTAAATTGACAAATTCATGAGGTTAAATTGCATTCTTTGGCTTCTCCAGTATAATTAATGTTTTTGGTTAGTATTTAAGAAAATGTGTTGTATTACTGTAAATCTTGAGCATTCCACATATTAATACATGATGCAACAATTTCCAAAGTTTGAGTATATAAACTGTTAAGAACCACCTGATATAATGACTGTTTCTATTTAGTCAGTCAATTTTAAATGTTGGTAAGAGAGGGAGAAAGAAACTGAACATTTATAATTCATCTGTTGTAGGTACATTTAAAGAAATCATTTGATATAAAAGAAAACTTGTTCAGTTAGTTACACATGGCTCCACTTCACACAGGCTAGGCAATCGAGACCAAATTTTTACTCAAAAGGGAACAAATTGCAGCAGAATTTATTTCACCACACTGTATTTCTGTGAGGACCCCTCAACAACATACTAAAAGTTCTAAGAGCTACTGGAATGGGAAATGTGCTTAATTTGCATAAAACCAATAAGGCCACCAAATTTCTATACATTATAATACCTTTGCTTCTAGATGACATTCTAAAATGGGATTTCTGGGTATGGAGAATCACATGGAAACCATTTGAATTTGATTGGATGAAATGTTCCTTAACATAATTCCAATACAGTCACCAAATACTAATCTGTTACAACAAAATTACTTCCATATTACAGTTTTCTTTAAAATTTGGGTACTTAAATGGCATTTCTGAAGGTTAAGGTGTATAGGGGCATGTAACACTATCCATGGATAAATCCAATATGGTTAACAATCAGATTTGTACCTGTAAAATCAAACAGTAATGTCAAATTCAAAAATGAGTGGAACATTGTGGGAGATACCTCTTTTCTGTTAGATTGAAACTTTAATCTGATGCAATCAATCACTTGAATGAAGTATTTGAAACAGGTTTTTATAGTAATGACAAAATAGTCACAACAGTATGAATATTCTACTGATTGTTGCACAATAAACATGTCTGGGTCAAACAAAATTTTGTCATTTAGCTTTTAACAAAATACTCTTTACAGTTTCTGTCTCCATTCAACAACAAACTGATATAAAGTGATCTTTTGGTAAGTATGCACTTGTATATGTGGTTAAGTTCAACAGTGTTCAGTATCTCTTAGGACTTTTAGTATGTTGTTCAGGGGGCCCTCAAAGAAATGCACTGTGGTGAAATAAATTTTGTTGCTATTTGTTCCCTTTTCAACCTTAACTAACCTAGACTAATGAAGCTGAGATGATGTGCAGGGGGTAAAAGTTGCTTTATTCAATATGACTTGTAGAGAAAAAACTATGCAAAATCTTTCAATATTATCTTTATTGTGACAAAAATGGGGAAATATAAAAGTTTTATTTCATATGACTTGTAAGAAAAACTATACAAGTTTTTCAAGCTTACTTTTAAGGAATTTAAGAATGTGAAGAATATGATTTGCTTTTTAAATGGAACACTAGGTTTAGATTTACCTGTACTTGCCATCTACAATCAATGATAATCGTGAGTTATGCTTTTATGTATTAGTGTTTGAAATTCCATTAAGAATGGTTTAAAGTTCCCACTGTTTCAAGTATGAAGTTTGAGTTAGCAATTTTTTCTGACTCGGGCTTAGCTTTTGATATTCTATCAAACATGTGTTAATAACATTTTCGTTAATTAATTTTTAAGTAGGGGAGGGAAGCAAAAATCTATTTACTTCAACAAAACTTTCTTTAACATTTTATTTCAAACTAGTAAAACTTTTTATATGTTAAAGTATCAAATTAGTTTTTTGGAAAAATATTTTAGTAGCTAACTTGAATAGGGAATATTTTTTTATTTATGGTAAATCATCTTGCTTTATGGTAGGCAAAACATGCTAGTGCCGGAAACACCACTTGGGGTATCAATGGAGAAACTGGTGAGGTGACAAACATAGTTGAACTTGGCATATGGGAACCTTTAGCTGTCAAGCAGCAAGCGTACAAAACAGCAGTAGAAGTAAGTTCTTAATAGTTTGTTCTTTGTAAATCTAATAAAAATTATACAACATAAAAACCTTGAAAAATATTTGAGACAGTAAGAATGAAGGCAACAAACTTTAATTCCTGTGCTTACCAGTTCTAATCTGAGACCTTTGGATTTTGTTTTTACTTTGAAATTTAAAATGCTAAAAACCTGTAGATGCCTTGCACTCCAGATGAGTAACCTTATAACTAAAAATATTAAATGAACTTTTACCAAGTTGTATTAATATGTTAGCAGAGTTAAACAAATAGTTGTGAACTATTGCTTTAGAACATGTATCATTTTTTAAGTTGTCATAGTTATGTTAAAACTAGCTCTCAATTAGTATGAGGTGAATTGTTAACCCTTTCACAGTGGGCTTGGTATAATATACATGAGTTAAGTATTTATACCATAACGTTGAATGCAGTAAGTATATCTTCACAAAATTTTGTAAACATTTAGTAAAGGTTACAAGTCTTTCATATACAAAAAATCCAATTTTTTAATGAAATATTTTTATTATAGATTTGTTTGTGAAAATACCGATTTTGTTTCAGTACCAGTTCAAGTGTGAAGTGATTTTCTTGTTATAACTAAACTATTGTTCGTCCCCAAAATCTCAAATATTCTTTGTCATCTCTAAAACCTCCTAAATACATTTCAAACATTTGTTTTCAGTAAAACTTTCTCTACCCTAACTCTATGGTGTCTGTCAATTTGACCGGTCTCGTAACTACCATAAAAAAATTAGGAAATAAATTTAAATTATGCTTTTTTCATTTTATAATTACTACATATTATAACATGAAAACACAAATGTTTAGTATAAATAGCTTAAATCTCATAACATTATACATTTATGTATATTTATTATTATATTGAGCTTCCAGCCATGCCTGGCTAACAATACAGAAGTTACAAATAAGTTCTTATTTTTCTTAAAACATAGAACAGTAAATAAAGGCCCCCCAGTGGCACAGCGGTGTGTCTGCAGACTTACAATGCCAGAAACCGGGTTTCGATACCTGTGTTGGGCAGAGCACAGATAGCCCTTGTGTAGCTTTGTGCATAATTAAAAAAACAAACAAACAGTAAATAAAGAAGTAAAGCAAACAATTATCTCTTCTAGTTATGACCTTTGTACTCGGTTGCTAAGGCTTATGAACTTTCCTACGTGGAGGATGTGAAAAGAAATCATAAATTATTATATCGATACCATAGAATTCCATTATAATTTATCAAGCATAGTAACTAAGCTGTATTTGGGTTTACCTTATCATTTGCAAATCTTGTGTGGAAAGAACGAGATTAACACAATAACAAGATAAAATGACTGAGAAAGTCACAAGGGGGACATTCTGAGCTTCCAATTGGTTATTCATGTCATATATAGAAGTAAGTGTATATAAGGCAGCATTTCCAAAAATGTAAAGAGGTGGGTGGGCCACTGTGTTTGATTTCAGTACATGAGCAATATCTTGGCAAATAGAAAAAATAATGTTCTTATTTTATATTCTAGCTTGTCAATATTGCTAGTTTGACTTTATATTTTGACATCACAAACATCTAATTTGAACCAGTGCTGCAAATTGATGTTTAGCTGTTTTTTTTGTTTTTAATGTTTACTTTTAAGAAATTAAGTAACATATGATACCAAACTTATTGACATAAATTCATAAAATAGTAGTTCAATAAAATTTTGAATGCAAGTCAACAGACACAATGACGTGGCCTTTGACATGTGGCCCATCATGATAGGGTTAATGTCTGAGGAAATAATGATCTTAATGTGTGTTTTTTGTTAGTCTTAGGAGTTACTTTTGATATTTTGTTTTAAAGTCTAAAATATGATTTTAAGTGTACTTGAAAATGTTGTGCTGTTATGTAGTTCAAGGAGAGAAGAAACATTTTCAGAATTGTTTAACCCTGTAACGACAATGTCATTTTTAAAACCCTTTTCTGTGCATGTTACTCGGTTATGTTCAAAATTTAACTAAACCACTTTACTATCAATGTATTTTTATGAAGTATGTTATAATTCAAAGTCTTATATCTCTGTTTTTATTCCTTTATTTCAAAAGAAACCTATAAAACAATAATTAGACTGAAGTTTTTGTTTGTGAGCACCATTGCAGTTTCAAATCTCAACTTTAAGAGCTCATATAGAAGAAACTGTGTGTAATATAGATATTTTCATTCAGACAGTCGAAGTACATCCTATTTGCTTGTTTATGAGTAACTCAAATATATTCCAAAAACATTTTTCCTGGAACAAACCATTGTAAAAGTTCCTCAGTTTAAGATAATCCATGCCCACTTGCAAAGTAGAAACTGTGTTGCTAAGCAACAGTTTTACATTGAATGTCATTCTAATAACAGAAGAAAGATCAGATTTTGCAGAACCTTTCCTGTAAATTATCTTTTAACTACCACATTGTTAATGTTGACTACATAGGTGTACATTTCCTAAGTATATTGCTGGACATCATTGTCCCTAGCAGTTGGCTGTTATTTCTTGCCTTATATATATATAAATTAGTTTGATAGACATTTAAAATGCTCTTAGGATTTTCATCTATATTTTAGTTAATTATGTATTATTTGTGTTTTAAAATTCATATTCAAAAGAATCAACTATTTTTAAAATTAATTTTATACTTTGCTTTGCTCAACCAGCTTTCATAAAGTCAGTGAGTGTAACCACCATTTTGTCAGGGGCTAACCATCTTTGCCATTGTTAACGTTATATCACCTGCAGGCACCTGTTGATGTTTGTTGACATAAATAATAAATGATAAAAAAGAAAATGAAAACAATAAAAAATATACTATAAGTGAAAATGTAAAGACATGAAATTATGCATATGACCCAAAGATATTTTAAGATTATTCAATGAAGAGCTAAAAGGTATGTATATATTTTCATCTCTTAATTTTTAATATTTCATTACACTGTATGTTGATGATAATATAGTTAATGATGTTGTAGAGAAAAATAGCAAATAAAATAGAAACATTTTTCTTAAACTTTTGATATTCATTTAGGAGGTTCTAGAGATTATTAAAATGAAATTGTAAAATAAAAGGTACTATTTTTATACTTAACATGAAAATCACCTTGCAGGTGAGCTGTTGAGAGACCAATCTCAAATAATGAGTTTTTGGTAGAAATGGTAGAAAAAATCAAAATTAAATATTTTTTCTCAAGCTACATACTATTATGAAAAGTTTTTATCAAATTTTATACATTGGTTTTATTATTGGAAAAAGATTTAAGGAGAGTTATGTAATGTGCTTCACTTTGCGACATGTTTTTCTTGGGTTAATTGATGAATGTTGTTTTGTTTGTTTTCACATTTTTGAGCTGTGAATTCAAGGTAAAACTAATGTTTGATATTTTTCTACATATTTGAAGTTGATGTTCATCAACACATAATAACTGCAGTAATATTTATTGTGATGCAGGAATTTAGTAATAGATATTTTTTTACTATTCTTCCATTTTAGACTGCTATCTTGCTTCTTCGTATTGATGATATTGTGTCTGGATCTAAGAAGGCTAAAGGTAGTGATGACAGTCCAGCAGCTCCACAGCAACCAACTGAAGAGTCCACTAAAGACTAACACATTAATGCTTTTCTACTTCTCAGAAATATAACAAATGCCATAATTCATCTTATCTTTCATTTCGTTATTAGGAAAGTGGCATTTTCTCCTCAGTAATCACACATTTTATGGCAAGCAGCAGTTTTTATATAACTTTTAAAGCTTGTAACATAAGTTAACATTAGTAATGTTTATTTGAAATTAAATTTCTTGGCTTCAAAAAATAGTCTTCTACTGTTGTGTTTTTACAACTTCATTTCTTTCACATGGTTATTATTTATTACACCAGCTTGACAAAGTAATGTTGCATTTAGAACTTGGCTGAGTAGAATGAATTGACTGTGTGGAATAACTATGATAAGATAATTGCATGGAAAGAAAATGTGCTTATTTTTAATAATTTTTGCTCGTACTAAAGTGTTTAAAAAATTATTAGTAAATACAGGATATAAATGATAAAATTCTTTTCCAGGGTGTTTACACTTATTGTATATACTTGACATCAGATTATTAAGCAACATTTAAAAGATGAGAAAAAGGTGCTGCAATATTTTACAGCTGCAAGATTTTTTAATTTAATATTTTTGTGAAGCAGTACTGCTTGTTTCATTTATAATCAAATAATATTACAAAAGATGCTCAAAAAAAAAAAACTTGTTAGCTGAAAAAATAATGCTAAATAAAATTTCAAAAAATCAGTTTTACTAAATGGACTATTGGAGTTAGTCAATTTTCTGTAATGTCGTGAATAATGATTACAACATGGAATTAGCTTCTTTAGCACTTATTAAAAATTACAGTATAATCAATAATATTTTGATAATAGGAAATTAATAATGCAATTTTCATACAAAAGTAAGCCATGTTTCAGTACTTCTCAGAAATGAATTAAATGATAAACAAAAACTGTGGATCACTGGTAATGTTTTGCACAAAATTTCAATTAAGTTTGTTGTATATGTTGAAAATGCATTTTATAGTTGTCTTTTTCTTTAATTAATAATGGAAAGTAAAAATGCCAGCATTTTTTACAAATTCAGATGTCAGATAGCTAAAAAAAATGGCCTCCATGGGGGGGGGGGGAGTTACTTCATACCAACTTTAGTTAGAGAAGATGTAACCTTCTCCATTAAAAGCTGATATTTTCATCCTTAAAAAGCATAGTTTCCACACTGATTACATCATAACTTTTACCTTGTGTTGAATAGAACTGGGCAATTAATCAATATAATCACATGTAAATTAATAAGTCAAAATTATGATTATATCTATTTATGTCTCAAAAATAATCAACTAATCTAAATTAGTGTGTGTTTATTACTGTTCAAAGTATTCTAACTATACAAGTAATTGAAACATTGTAGTTATGATTTCTCATTATTTTGGTTTAGTGTTATGACTCAATTAACTAATTAAAATTAGTGTTTCCAGTAATTATTTTCAATTCACATCTGAGAATACTCAATTTGTTGATTATAATTAATTGAACTCCATGATTAACAAATTCCTTTATTCACCCAGCTGTAACTCTCTCAATTTGAAGCTTAGCCTGGAATTTATCTGAAAACTTGTTGAAAATTTTTTTATACTAAACATAAAAGCAGTTTGGTTTTCTTGGAATAATCTATGGGTGTAGTTAGAGAGCTAAACAACTTTGTTGCTATACCTAAAAATAGTTGATTTTTTTGTGGGAAAAGTTATTATAAAATATACAAGTTTTTAAGATATTTAAAGCCGGTTGTTGACCTAGTTTGTGCAAATACTTGTATGTGCACTAGTAACACAAGGCATCATCCAAAAACTAAGGCTGATACAGTCCACAGAAGACTTTAAACACATAGTCTTCTCTGCCTAAGCTGTCTCTTAACCCTTTCCAGGTTGAATATTTATGAGATTTTATTATTATCCAGTGTAACAGAACAAAGTGACTCTGAACGTGGTAAGATATCATAATACGAATACTGAAGTACTTATTGCAAATAGAGTAATGATTTTTCAAAATCGTTACTGTCTATGTGTATGATAAAAGTCCAAACAATTTCTACCTTTGTTAGACAAGTATACTGCACATAAAATGGGTGAGGTGGCAATTTCCTTCATATCTCAGTTGTGTGCTATCATGCAAATTTCAATATTTGCAAACTCTCCTGCTCTTGCAGTCTTTTCATTACAAACCCTACAGTCGTGAGTGGTTTCAATGAACACTGGAAAATATTGTTTTTCAGTTTCTGAACATCATGTGGATCTCCAATTGATGGCCTACCAGCTTGTTTCCAAAATGTTTTGCTGCCCATAAGCCTTTTGCCATACTACTGTTGTAGCACCTATTGTCAACAAAACTAACTATGCTCTTTCAAAAACTGCAACCGAACAATGTGAGCTGAACTCCTCAGGAAAAGAGTTAAACAAAAATGCACAAGAAAAGAATTACTTGTAGGTTATAATTCTACAAGCAGTATGAAATAATTGATTTTAAAATAATCTTTTGATGAATGCACTTGCAATCTTCCCCAGAAAACTAAAATGTTTTTTGTAGCACATTTTTACAAGTTACTGACTCACCATAGTCAAAAGACCACCAAAGTACCATATGCACAATATATCTAATATTGATCAACTACACATAGATCAAGGCTACTCCAAGAACTAACACTGAAGCAAACATGTAACAGTACACCAAAACCACACCCAACATATCTGTGGCTTACCTAAAATTCACCAGTAAGTTACGTACCCGCTCCAATCTTTAGTCAGCTGCATTGATTCACCATGCCACCCCTTATCTCATTGTCTTATAAATATAATATTACTGTTAATAAACAAAACATTATCATACATTAAGGACTCCATACACTGTAGAGATTATAGAAGCAGACATGTCTTACAGGACACAATGATCAGTTTCAATTTATTTACAAACCCTTGAAATACTACAAATATTCTTCCAACAGAACTCACAACAACAAAAAGGCCTATTGATGGGTTCACACTAATAACCAGTACCCTGTAACCTCTATATGTAACATTTCAAAGCTAAGTCTCTCAAAACAGCTGTTCAAAGACCCAGAATATGGCTGATATATTTGTAATACAGCTATACGCTGCGGGTAAGATTCCAGGATTCATGAACCATGTGAAGACAATCCAGTGCCACAGAATAAAATAATGTCCCATTCCTAGATGTAATGATTATCAAAACACACAACTTGTATATCACAGGCATTTTTAGGAAACTTGCAGGTAGTAATAAATCAAACCATTACAACAGAGTATACACAGACATCATAAACTGCCTGGCTTCTACAATGAATGGAATGAACAAGACCTGTAATACTAAAGAAAGAATTAAACACACCATTACAACCCTCCTTGATAATGAATAAACTAAGTACCTGACAAACAAGATAAACAGGAAGAAAATTACATGCATCAAAAGTCTCTGAAAACATGCACAGCTTACATAAACAGTACTCAGAAGTTTCAACACAATTTGGTCACAGTTAATACACACCAACCCACTTAAAGATCCAATGGAGAACAAAAACATTTTCCATAAGAATGTGAACTCCAGTACTGCTGGGGAAACAAAAAAAAATTCAGGAGCATAGTACATATATATGACTTTGCAATACTGATCTATTTGCTAGAATTGAAGACCATACAATAAACTAGAACAATACAACAACACACAAGAAAATAAATTACTCGGTCAATCTATCATAGAAATTAGCAAAACTTGGATAACACTCTTGAAAACATCCAAATAATTAATTGATTTAAGTCTTAATGGAGGAGCCTCAAAACAAGTAGATAGCACACCAGCCTTTCTATTACAAAGACCTAGGATTAAATCCTCTCTTCTACCACTACAAAGACAGTCATTTCCTTGGGGACTTCCCTGAAAACAGCAACAGATAAGCTCTTAGAATAGAGCTAATAAATACTAGACTTAGATGATCATATAGACTACTAATCATGAGTTGAAAACATCTTAAATGCAAGAACAGTTAAGTACTAGAATAATGGTACACTTTAACACTCAGGGTAAATTTGTAAGTCTATATATAAGACAGTAAAGTTTGTGATTCTAAGACAGTTGAAAGCAATATTGAAAAAACAACAACATATACACCTGGAAAAAAGTTAAGCACCCCCAAATATTTTTCAGGATTGCTTATTGAAAATAAGGT